TATTGAACTGAGAACTGTTTAAAAACTACCGCGATTTTGCTGATTTTTATCTTCGAGTGTCGGAATTCGTGGACAATCTGTGCCCAGTCCGATTTTGGACAATTTTTTCATGAACAGTCTCGCAAGGTTTCTATACGCACAGCAAACCAAATCTTGCTTCAACTTGCAACATTGTTAACGCCAGGAATGTTCTTAAACTATCGTGTTTTTACTGCTTTCCATCTTTCAAGTTTGGGACCTTCTGGACAGTCCGTGTCCCGTCCGATTTTACTTTAATGTTTCATAGATACTTTTGGACAGTTTTGGCACCTACGGAAAAAAATGCACAATGCAACTTGCAGGATATATAAGGCAACAATTTTTTTAAACTACCGCGTTTGTTGTACTTTTTTTCTTAGGGTTAGCAGTTTTTTCTTAGGGTTAGTAGTAGTAGCGCGTCCTGTCCGATTAGACTCCAATTTTTCCTAGATGTATTAAGAAGGTTTGTGCATCTACAGGAAAAACTCGCTTCATCTTGCAGGATTGTTAAAGCCAGATGTTTTAAAAATTACCGCGTTTCTACTGATTTTCATCTTCAAGTTTGTGAATTTCTGGACAGTCCGTATCCTGTTAGATTTTCTCCAAATTTTTCTGGGTGCTTTCAGAAAGGTTAAGCATCCACAGAAAAAAATCACTCCCCGCCTTGCAGAATTCTTAAACCCAGTAATTTTTTTTATTATCGGGTATCAGGTAATTTTAATCTTCTTGTTTAGGAATTTCTGGACAGTCCGTGCGCAATCCGATTTGATCCCAATTTTTTATAAATACTTTCAAAAGATTTGTGCATCCACGAGACAAAAATTGCGCTCCGAATTGCAGGACTAATAGTCAGAAAATTTTTAAAACTACCGTGTTTTTTCCTGCTCTAAACCGTCAACTTTCGGCATTTATGGACAGTGTATGTCCTCCTGTCCGACTTTGCTCCAATTTTTCTCGAACAATTTGAAGGGTTTCTAAGTACCGCAAAAAAGTTCTTGTTACAGCTTGCAGGATCGTTAACGCCCGAACTTTTTTTAAACTATCGCGTTTTGACTGCTTTGCATCTTCAAATTTGGGGATTGCTGGACATTCCGTGTCCTGTCCGATTTGACTGGATTTTTTCGTGAACACTTTCGGAGGGTTTGTGCATCCGCAGAGAAAAATTTACTCTCCAACTTGCATGGTTATTCAACTCAGAACTGTTTAAAAACTACCGCGATTTCGCTGATTTTTATCTTCGAGTGTCGGAATTCGTGGACAATCTGTGCCCAGTCCGATTTTGGACAATTCTTTCATGAACAGTCTCGCAAGGTTTCTATACCCACAGCAAACCAAATCTTGCTTCAACTTGCGACATTGTTAACGCCAGGAATGCTCTTAAACTATCGTGTTTTTACTGCTTTTCATCTTCCAAATTTGGAAACTTCTGGACAGTCCGTGTCCCGTCCGATTTTACTTTAATGTTTCATAGATACTTTTGCACAGTTTTTGCACCTACAGAAAAAAATGCACAATGCAACTTGCAGGATTTATGAAGGCAAGAATTTTTTTAAACTACCGCGTTTGTTGTACTTTTTTTCATAGGGTTTAGGAATTTCTGGACAGACCGCGTCCTGACCGATTAGACTCCAATTTTTCATAGATGTATTAAGAAGGTTTGTGCATCTACAGGAAAAACTCGCTTCAACTTGCAGGATTGTTAAAGCCAGATGTTTTAAAAATTGCCGCGTTTCTACTGATTTTCACCTTCAAGTTTGTGAATTTCTGGACAGTCCGTATCCTGTTAGATTTTCTCCCAATTTTCCTAGGTGCTTTTAGAAAGGTTAAGCATCCACAGAAAAAAATCACTCCCCGCCTTACACGATTCCTAAACCCAGTAATTTTGTTTATTATCGTGTTTCTAGGTTATTTTTATCTTCTTGTTTAGGAATTTCTGGACAGTCCGTGTGCAATCCGATTTGATCCCAATTTTTTATGAATACTTTCAAAAGATTGGTGCATTCACAGGAAAAAAATTGCGCTTCGAATTGCAGGACTAATAAAGTCAGAAAATTAAAAAAAACTTCCGCGTTTTTTGCTGCTCTTTACCATCAAGTTTCGGCATTCATGGACAGTGATGTCCTCCTGTCCGATTTTGCTCCAATTTTTCTCGAACAATTTGAAAGGTTTCTAAATACAGCAAAAAAGTTATTGTTACAGCTTGCAGGATCGTTAACGCCAGGACTTTTTTTAAACTATCGCGTTTTGACTGCTTTGCATCTTCAAATTTGGGAATTGCTGGACAGTCCGTGTCCTGCTACTGAGATTTTGCTACTGAGATTTTGAGTTTCACTTTCATCTTTGGAAACATATTCAATTTGAGGCCACCCTAATGATAAAATTTTGAAAAAAACGATATTTTGCTCAGAAACGGATAGGGTAGGGTTGAAATACTTTTCATAAAGGTTATTGAAAATAAAGAAAAGAACGAAACATTATACAGGGTGTTCAATTTGAAATAAGGAAGTTCGGAACAACTTCCAAAATAACCGGAAGTCGCATAACGTCGCTGTTATTTCATCTGAAAAGAGCGTCTCCTCCGAAAATTGCATTATCCAAATTTGCGGGATTCAAATCGCATTATTCTAATGGACGCTGACCGTGAGACACCCTGTAGGTATGCCTTATAGATACAGTATGGATTGACTTACCCAGTGCTCATGGCCATTTGCTGATGGTAAGCAGATAGATTGGCATTGGGAGGGAAAAACTGCTGTTTTTGAGTGAACTGATACAGAGGCGAGGCCTGTTGTTGCGGAGTGGTGGGCGACGGAAAATACCAGGTGGGCGAAATGAGGGGCGACGAAAGAGAGGGCGGATTGAGGCTGGGCGTGGGCGCGGTCTCCTTGGTCTGGGCTGGGGACGAAACGTTCGGCATGTGATAGTTTGCAGGAATATCGGCGTAAATTGGAGTTGCGTCAATGCCCAAAATCATGTTTCTGGCCTTGTAAATGTTGCCTGGAACAAAAATTGAGTATCAATTTGGGGAGTTTTTGGCGCCCAGTTTGATCAGTTTTACTTGCGCATTTCTCCACGCCTTTGATCACGCAAGCTTTGGTCGTTTTGTTCGCTTTTTGCTTTATATTGATTGTTACGTCAACAGCAGTTTGAATTTCCGTTATCTGCTCGGCCTGGAAAAGACTTTGACTTAGTACAGGGTGTCCCACGAATATGGGCTGATATTAACTCGAAAAAAACAGTCACAATAGTTCCGAAAATTTCAAGTCAGGCTAAAGCGGCTCTAATCTATACATTAAGGATACTGATCTATACATTAAGATAAAAGTTGATTGACAAAATGCCCTGTATATTACTAAAAATGTTGAGTTCTTCCAAAGGTTCTGCATGTTGATATCAATATTATCCAAAAAAGGTCAAATTTACGTGGTTAAGCAAGTATTAAGTTCTATTATTACACGAATTGTTGCCAAAAAAACCTTAAATTTGCCACATGAAATCTTCGAATCTCATCGAAAACCCGACGATTTTCAAGCTGTAAAATCACATTTTTCCGACAGAGGCGTATGGTAACTTTTGGACGATATTTACTTTTAAGTTGTGATTAGTTAGTGAC